TGGTTCTCCTTGGTCGGACCAAGTTTTATAACTATGATATTGACGTTAAATTAACAATGGGACTTTCATTTTCGATTTGTACCGATGGAAAATTTTCGTCGTTAAGTAAAGTTTTCGAAGGAATGTCAACCTTTAGCAATGTCAATATCCCGTTGAAGCCGCGATTTCTAGCAGTGTCGAAGATTTTCAGTTGTTCATCATCTAATTTAGCAATGTGTTCGAGTGCTGCATTTTCATGTTTTTGGTTGAGCTTTTCAATGATTTCATTTTTCTATTATTGAGGGAGCTCTCTCAGTCTGTAATGAAGAATTTAAAGAATCCAATTAATATGGTAAGATATAATTTATAATTTGACGAATATATAAGAATTATTTGATAAAGAGAAAAGTGATAAATGAGCTCCCCTATCACTTCTTCCAGGTTTTCGTACTTTGTCATTTTGAGTTCTAGTGATTTTTTCGTATTTGAAATGACCTATGGATGAACAGTTTTCAGTTTATTTATTTATTTAGTTGACATGGAATGAAAATTTCAATATTTTCTAAGACATGCGAATGATATATTTTATACATGTACTTCGATGTCCTAGCAAGCCATCCATATAGTTAGTCTCCTTAATGTTGTGCCACATACCAATTTTTTTCCATGGCCACTTAATTTAAATGTCTACTCAAAATATTGAGCATTCTTAAACCCTTCCCAAATTTGAACGAAATTCAACATTAGCAAAATATGTCGTTAAAATTAAAGTCAGAAATTATGAACAAAATTATTTGTAGAAAAGAATGTACAAGTTCACCAAAGAAAATAGGAATGACAATTCAGTTGATTATTAGCACAAACACTTGTATGTTGGTCTATATTTGGATAATTTATCGATGTGCGTTTTATCCCTTAACATAAAGTTATAAGTTGATAAAAATAAGAAGTGGATAAGTGTGTGATATCCTACAAAATGTCACTAAAATTAATGTTATTGTTGAAAAGTAATTTTCAACAATAAAAAGGAAACTCAATTTCAACAACTCGTCTTAATTCTTGCTTTTATGACATATTTACTAGCAAGCTATGTTCATATGTAGCTCATAGTTTATAGATAACATTATTCTTATTGATAAGATCAACTTGGAATAATCATCATTATATTCAAGAAAGTGAAATAGTGGACATTATGGTGATGAATGTTAATTATCATTGTGGATACGGACATGGATTGGAGAAAAGTGGATTATGGATTTAAATTATCATAAAGTCATGTTATATATTTCGAACATCTACAAATACCACTATTTTCAATCAATTTTCCTAAACTCTTGTACTACAACTCCATATTATTCTCTCTACCAATTTAGAATTTATTGGCTAAGCGAAAGGTGTTCTTGTGGTGGAGCTTTGGGTCTATTTTCCATTGCAAAAAGGTTGAACAAAGATGGTTGGTGCATAGTTAATTGAGGACTTCCTAGTTTGTAGGTAGCTTAAGTCTCCTCTACGAAAGCGATTTCGTGCCTTGATTTAATTGAATATTTGTTTGCTTCTCATTCTTTTTTGTAATTTATTATTACATTGTACTATGTGCACTTTTCCAAGTCATGCAAACCGCATTAATTGGGCAAATCATATTGTATTTTAGTGCATAAAGTGACGAGTGGAGAATGTATTTTATCTCTAGTCTATTTTTCAGTAGAAACAAAATTCATGACGAAGGCAAGTCAACATAGAGTATATGAGCAAAGCAAAATAAAAGAAAGGCAAGTCAACATAGAGAACATGAGAAAAGCAAAATAAAAGAAGTGCATTTCTTAATTATTTTTATTTATTATATGAATGCCATAAAACAGTTGTAGCGTCCACCAATAAGCTCAAGCATTCTTCAGCTAAATAATGATTCAAAAGCCTTTTATTTTATTCTTTGTTTTTCTGTTTATCTCAATATTATTTGTTCCATCAACTACAAGAAAATTTGCATGAAAAATCAAAAGGTAGTGAGACCTCTCAACCATCAACATTACTCTAGGGATGTAAACGAGTCGAGTCGAGTCGACTCGCAAGTCGAAATTTTGGGCTCGGGCTCGACTCGAGTAAATCGTAGCGGGCTTTTTTTGGGCCCGAGCCGAGTCAAAGCTCGACCAAAAAAATAAGGCTTGGCCGAGCTTTGGCTTGGGCTTTTTAAGAGCCAAGCCGGCTCGACTTGGTTTTTTAATTTTTTTTTTTGTAATTTTTAATAATATTTTTTTCACATGCTAATTGTTGTGGTGCAATTTGTTTAGTATAGAAATCAAAAAAATTATTTAATGACATTTTTTGGAAAGAATTTAAAAATTGAATCATTTATTATATATACAAATTACAAATTAAATAAAAGCACAACTTTCAAAATTATGTAATTTATACGAATAACAAAATAAATAAAAGTTACAAATTACAACCCTTCTTCTTTTTCCGGGCT